ATGTAATTTTAAAAGTGCTATTACTTTCGTTATACTATGAAATGCTAATTTTAATTCTTAACCAAATGATTAATTGCATTCTTTTATTGAACAACAAACAAGGTAGACTGCGGATTTCATTTATTTCCTAAAATCAGACTCATTTTTTATTCGCCTAGAGATGAATATTAATGAAATCGGATTTCTTGAAACATGTATGTAAACAGTTGCGTTTTCCCAATTATCCGAATTATTTTAATCTGTTAGTCAGCCAGTACATACCTCAGATGTGCTAACAACAAAGAAGAGTCGACTTAAACTATTCATTGATGCCGAAATGTGTGATATTAAGATCTGGTTACATTTTATTTTATTTATCAATGGATAAAAGCGCATAGGGATTTTTTTATTATTATCAAGAGTTTTCAGTTAATTACCAAATAATTAAGTTAATTAGCCAAATAATAAAAGAAGAAAGATAAATATCCCTTTATGAAGTAATCTCTAAATTCTAGTAAATTTCCACTCTTCGCTTTAAGACTTCATAATGCAGCAGTTTAATTTGAATAAATTTCTTTCAAGTTGTATCATAAATATGTTTCTACTATAAGCTAATAAGGAGATATTCTCTAGAGCAGCGGTGCTCAACCTTGTCCTCGCGAGCACAACCGTGCTCGCCGATCGTTTTGTATGTGCTCGCCAGCCCGATTAGGTACTATGAACAAAGAAATATTTAAAAAAACCATTCATTTATATTTCTTAATTGTTAAAATATGGTAAGCATTTATAGTCATAAGAGATATCTTGCAACACGTTATAAAATAATTGATTGCTAGCTGATGAACTTGATAGCGAACATGGAATCTTATTGCTTCATTCCGATGTTAGATGGCTCAGGAGGGGAAAAGTACTTCAACGATTTGTAGAACTTCTGTTGCCAATAAAGCAGTTTTCGGAATCCGGAAACGAAAGTTATAAAGAATTCGACGATAATAATTGGTTATCCGATTTGTATTTTCTCACGGATATAACAGCTAAACTGAACAAACTGAACGAAGATCTCCAGGGAAAAGAAAAATATATTTTTCAATTGACTGGGACTGTAACCTCTTTTGAGATAAAGTTAAATTTATGGATAAATCAGGTGAAAGAAAAAAATGTCAACCATTTTTAGAATTTATCAAGCCATATTAATAACCACAAGGCAATTGAAAGAGAGAAATACTAGGAAAACCTAAATGCACTGAAAAATAATTTTGAACTCCGCATTTCTGATTTCCATAAAGTTCAACCAATATTATTATTCATCTCAAACCCATTTGCCGAAATCAGTATTTCAGAAGTATCATATAAAATTGGAAATATGTTTAACAAAAAGGTTGATGTTTTGGAAATGTGCTCGCGATAGGCCAAAATGAACTCGCGATAGGCCAAAGGTTAGGCACCACTGCTCTAGAATTATAAAAACGTTCTGGTACTAAATTCCTATATTGACGTATTTTCTTCTTTATTATCTAATTTTAGTTTCTTTGAAAGCATACAATTTTTTTTTTTTTTTTTTTTTAACTAAAAGGAAAAAAGGAAATTTTAAAGGATTCAGATTATAATGTCGCACGAGAGGATTTGTTAAGACTATTTATGCTCTCGCTGAGTATCCCAGGTTATCAGTTTGTTCTTGGACTCACTCCTGTCAACATATTTTTTGTCTTTCTAGTAAAACTAATAAAAATATTCTACTGGAGGCAGTGACAACTTATTATTATAAAACAGAAAGATAAATAGCTTCCAGTTTGTTGAATGACAAAAATTTGGCGCGTTGGAGATAAAAAATATTTTGTTTCGAACAGTTTTACCACTTTTCGCTTTCAAATCTTTGAGTTTATTAAAAAAAAAAAAAATTCTTAAATTTGTACAAAGCATGAAATAAATAAAAAACAAACTCGAAATTCAAAATTCGAGTTTTGAGATCCCAAGCTCGGGTGGATGAACATTTTTTTTGTACGTTAAAAATTTGCTAGTTATAGGCGTCGTCATTTTGCCACAGTGCGAGGAGCATATATACATACAGATCCTTGATTAGGTACTTTTTTTAAATAACACATGGCAGTAACATTTGGTGAGAGCAATTTGACAAGTGGTGGTGTGGTGTGGTGTATTTAATTATGGCAAAGCACACTAGGGCTATCTGCCTAAGCGGAGGGATGCCTTTCGTGGAGGACTTTCTAAGGGAAACTGGCTCGTATACACGTTACACATGGGGAAAACCACGAAAACGCCCATGCAGCCAGCCCGTTCGCGGGATTCGAACCTCGGACCGAACTACCAGTGTTCAGCGACTTTACCTCTCAGCCGCTAGTGGGCTCCAATTTGACAAGTGATTCGGGCACAAAAGTGATACGGACAAAAAGTGAGTTTCGAGACTATTAGTACCTGTGATGCTCATAAAAATAAAGTTTACATAAAGATGTTAAATTGAATGTTTACTAAAATAAATTCTATTGGAAGCATTTTATATGTATTGGAGATAACTTTTCAGGGATACGAATAGTTTTGTGAAGGTATGATTACTTGTTCACACGAGCTAACCACAAATTTAAGCACGCGTGATACGCTTGCAGCACCTGACCATTTAAACGGTAGCAAACAGATTACCCCCGGAGATTACACTTGAAAAAATGCACGCTCACCTGGGTGGAATACTGGGGAAGGGCGGGAATTAACAACAATCGCTAAACTAGAACGCGAGAAAAATGAAACTGAGCAAACTGCTGTAAAGATAACCCGCAATTAATCTCCAACTGGCGGGGTTGACCAAAAACGAAATACACCCCTAGGGGCCCCCCTCGCACGACGTGACTCGGGCCCCGCTGACCTCCCGTTGCTCTGACAGTCCCCGGGCCCGATACATCAGCTTATCGAGGGATCCGAAAGTACAACGGCCGGCGAAGCCTGATTAATGCCTTATACAGTTTTTACGGCTTTGCACACGTAGATGCAGTCCGAGACAGAAGGTAATTTTTCACCGTATTTGAAGTGTAATTTTGTTTTGTTTTGTTTTGGCTCTCTCCGAAGGACGAACCAAGCTCGCTTGATTTTCCCTGCCCTCATAGTCTGGAACAGTTTAAGTTGAGATACCCAGTGTACGAGGAAGTGTTACGCTGGCTTTCGGATTAATATCTGGCTTATTATTACTCATGAAGAGAGAATATTCTGCTTCAAATTAGCATTTCCGAATCTTATTCTCTAGAGACAATGGAAAAGGAAGTAAGTACTGTTGGATATAAAACTTCTGTCTAACTGCATTCTAAGAAAAGTAATTAGTTCCGAATAACAAGTCGCTTTATTTAATTTAGTAAAATACTCTTGTAAAAAATATTGTTCTTCTTAAATACTTTTATAAAGAATGTTACTCTTTCTAAGATTTGCATATTTTCCACAAAAGTTCGTAAATTTTGCAATAACTTTCACTCTTTAGGCGTTATTAATTTAATTTGTGAATATACGTTCTGGACTGTTTTAATATGGAGTACTTCTTTTATTATGAGAAATCACAAAGCAGCATAAATAATAATAATAATAATACAAAAATATTTTTTGTATCAATACAAACGCAGTAAAAATACCTCTTAAATTGTTAAGATCTTTCTTAATTGCATGTGTGAACAAATGATAAATTTGATTTAAACCGTTTTCAAAGTAATAAAATACAGTCTCTACAGGCTCTATGAAAAAAAGAAACTTTATTTCCATATTTTTAAAAAAAAAAAAAAAAAAAAAAAAAAAAGAGAGAGAGAGAGAGCGATTTCCTTCAATTAAAATTTACTTCAGATGCATTCTTGAAAACAGGAGACAAATTATCTTCATTTCTATTTTGCATTTGCAGATTTTTTCCTTTCATCATATCCTTTCCTTTTCTGTTTTAGAAACTTCAGTTTGGTTTAGTTTATTCAAATAATTTAAAACAATTGAAGTATAGATGATAGGATCAACAAATTAATTTCAATCGGATGTTTAGAATAAATCTGGCACAACTGAGTAATTGTGTTCGTCACTGATATCTATTTTCAAAAACAAATGAAAATTACAGCATTGATTTTTTTTAACCAGTCAATTATATTCCAAAAGGAGAAAATCAGCTAAGTTTCTCGAAAAAATAAAGCTCTTTCTTAAGGTAAATAGTTTTATTTAATTTGCAGGCATTTTCATCTGGCACGTGATATATATAATTTAACCTATTAAGAAAAAAGTCCGCTTAAAAACGTTTCCTCCATTTTCTAAAAGAAATAAGAATTATGATACTAATCTATGACCTGCAAACGAATACAATGAAAGGAAGAAAATACTCTTGGTTGAGGTCTTCTCTTCTTTCATTCTCCTCCCTCCCTCCCTCCCCAAAGGCTAAGTAAAGCATTTCACTTCATTTGCAGGATTTTTTTTTTTTTTTTTTTTTTTTTTTTTTTTTTTTTTTACTTTTGTTATTACATACTTATTTATTCTTAAGTGAAAAAAGAAATTTTAATGTAACTTTCCTGAAAAGATTTTATATAGAAAAAAGAAAAGAAAGCTGAACCTTCGTACGTGCAGCTATAAAAGTAAACGAAAATGTCTATGTTATCTTTAATCTAATTATTTAGTATAATTAATCTAAATTTTTCTCCTTTTTCTTAAACCATGCATTTTGATATACATATTTCCTTTTTTGCTTCGATTGTAAAATAGAAAAACATTTTCTGCTAATTTTCGCCAGATTTATTTCTTTATAGTTCTTTGGAAACAACTCATATCTCGAACGAAAGATAAATATAGGATCAGACAAGACAAAAGTCACTTTTAAACAGATTCTTTGACTGATTTTTAAACAGATTTACATTGACAACTGTGAGAAAAATAGAATCTTTAATGAAAACATAATATACAAGTATTTAGAGATTAATTCCTTTTTGTGTACTAAAGACTTCTGTGTGGTGAAAATAAGTAAAAAAAGAAATGACATTTTTTATCTTAGATAATCAATTACACTGACTTTCTGAATATTTTCCCACCAGAGGCCGACCGGTAAAGTCCCTGGACACTGATAGTTTAGTCCGAGGTTCGAGGGCTGGCTGCATTGGGGATTTTCCCCATGTGTAACGTGCATACGAGCCAGTTTCCCTTAAAACGTCCTCCACGAAGGTAGATAACCCTCGAGTCTTTGCCGTAATCACATAAACCAAACCAAACCAAATCTTCTGAATATTTATTCCGAGTTTACTTTAAACTGCGTAATTCCTGCGAGTAAACTGAATAAAAACTTATATTCTCTTTCCATTAATGTAGTATACGGGTCATTAACATAAGATTAAAAAATAACAGTCATATGTATCAAAGCATTAACTATTTAGGTAAATAAAATATGCATTTAATTTGACTTTTATAAGTGCTAATAAAACTGTTATGTATTATTTTAAATGCTGTAGCTATCTATTTATTCCTACAACACAGGCGCAAAAAAGGGGGAGAAAAGAAAAGAAAGAAAGCCTGTCTTTTACTCGGAAACAGAAACTTAGAGGTTTTGTTTTATATGTACATATAGTATTTCTGTAACTATTTAATTCATAAGAAATTCCTTTACATATATTTTTTTCAGTCTTTAGATTTCCAGTTTTCATTATGATTTAAATATCAATATTGAAAGAGTCCACGTTCTTTCTTTCCTCCTTTCTATCTGATATTATCATTGCATTTGATCACGTGGATAAAGCAGCCAATCATATTTCTTTCTGTCAAATAAAATCTCCCAATGAGATAGGATTAGTGCTAGTGCTAAAATATTGAGTTTACTGGATTATTTTTACTAGACTACTTTTACATGGTTTTTAGAATTAAAAAAAAAATAATAATTAAAATTCTTTTGGCATAGGTATCTTATATTCAGCTGTAGGCAAAAAGTTTTTATCTTTGCGAAAATATTTTACTAGTTTTTCGTCAAATTTATTTCCTCTTTGAAGAGAAAGTGTGTGATTATAGCAAAGCCTCGAGGGCTATCTGCTTAAGGGGAGAGATGCCTTCGTGGAGGACTTTCTAAGGCAAACTGGCTCGTATACACATGGGAAAAACCACGAAAACTCCCATGCAGCCAGCCCGATTGCGGGATTCGAACCTCGGACCGAACTACCAGTGTTCAGCGACTTTACCTCTCGGCCGCTGGTGGGCCTCTTTGAAGAGAGAAAAAAGTTTATAGTCTAAAATTTACATAAAACTAAGTCCTTTTGGTTTTCAGCAGTTCTCTTGCTCAATTTATGCGTTAAAACTTGCTTCATTTTTTGACCCACGCAGCTATCTTTTTCATGCACTATATTAAAAAACAGTTTAAATGATTTAAAGCATTGATCAAAGTGTTAATTGCTTAATTTCAGAGATGGATTGTTTCTTTAATATCAACCTTTCTGCAATTCTAGATATTTCACAAGCAGCTCATGAACTGGAAACCAATGGAAACTAAAACTAAAACTTAATAGCATCGTTTAGTTAGTTTTGTTCACATAAATAATGTGAATTTTCTTAACTCTTAATACGAAACATGTTCTTAAATTAATACATATGAAGATACACGTACTGTTTTCATTAGAGACTAGTAATCGTCCAACTCTTTAACGAATCAAATAGGCAAAGGCATAAAACTATGCCATGTTGCTGATGTCAGTGCTAATGCTGAAAAGTAAAAATAAATAATAACTAAAGTAAACAGTGACTAAAGTAGGCAACTCATATCTAAAAGCACATTCATCTCATATCTTAAAATTAACATTAAAACCGTTCGCAGATTGGGAAAAAAATTGGATCATAATAATAAGGCTTATAATATGCTATTGATGTTATTATTTGAATCTTAAAATTCCTAATTTTAAATACATAAAAATAACATCTTACCTATTTTCCAAAATAAAAGTTTTAAAACTTAAGATTCCATAACAAACTGCTTTGTAAATCATTGCAATCCTTAGTTTCAAGTGTTCTCAAATCCTAAGTTAGTTAATTGTTCGTATAAAATTTGTGAATAAACATCTCGAAGATCAAAACAAAAATGAACTAGAAATTTGGAACCTTTTACAACTCCAAGCAGTAACAATTTTTACAGGTGAAAATATCCTGAGCAAATCTGGATATCTTCACGAATTTACATCGCAAATATAAATAGTATAGCGAATGTAAAAAAAAGTATGGCAAAACTTAATACTCTGCAAACGTAAGTATTGATCTGAGTGCGTCCAAGCCACATACATTTTTTTCTTCTCTTCACCTTTTCTAAAGTAAAATAATGTAGCTCCATTAGGAAGCATTTTAACTTTGTATACGCTTATCACATGATATAATGTACAACCAACCTGTTTGGCATTGCACTAGGGTTAATAAGATTAGAGAAACATGTGCTATATTATTACCATAGAAATAACCTTGAATAATATAATTTATGAGATGCTAACAGCTAAATAAGTTGAAAAATGTATCCCATACAATTAAAAAATATTAAAAATCTTAAATAAGAAGTTGTAATCTGATCTTGGCATGCAGATTTCAGTTTAATGCCTGAAACAGTTTCAAGCTTATAAATTAAAACGAACCTACTAGTTTAAAAATAAATTCTAAAGTAATCAAAGTTATGAAACATAAAATTTTACTACCTTATATTTGAAATCAAAAATTCAAAATGGCAAACAAACAAAACAAAAGTTTGCTCTGATATCACCTTATACTAATAACGCTATGTAGAGAATTATGCTCTTGTTTTAAAAAAAGATTCAACTACTCAAGATGCAGCTGTGCAGTGTTGCACTGGATCCCCTGCATATGACATTTGTAAAAATATTTCGCTAAAGTGACTATATTTTCTGTTTTTCCATAGAACGAAATCCGCGATCTGAAAATAATAATCAACTCAAATAGGTTTCTTTCGAGATATTCTCTTATAACAAGGCTTCTTACAACATGATTTCTCTCTTACACGATAAAAAGATTGCGAAAACACGGCAATTCCATAGCCTCATATAGCACAGATACACTGTTTCATTCAAGCAAGTTAATGAATATGAGTAAACCGTCTTATAACACTTCAAATGGTAAACTGCATAAATTACATAAAAGGGATTTTGTAAGAAACATTTAGAAAACTTTTTGGATATGTATTACTAATTAGCTTTGTCGTTTTTAAGAGTAATCATTGCGAAATTGCATTTCAGTCCCAAACTCTGCCTGAAAATTAGAAAATAACTTTTAAATGAAAATTT